TCTTTGTTGACTTTATAAACATTGTTACATAATGTCTTAAGTCTTAAGATACCATTTCCATGATGTGTTGATACAAATTTCAAAAGGTAAATTTGGTTTTTACTTTTCTTTATGGGTTTGTTTCTCAAATTTAGGCTAAGCCTCAGCTTTCCCTGAAGTTCTAACCAAACATCATTCACTGCCCTCTTGAATGCTGTAATATCAACTTTAAACTCATTTGTTCACTTAGTAAAAAAATGACTGAGCTACTTTAATTTGATAGCACTGTGGAAAGAATACAAACATGAAGATGATATAGTCCATGCCCTCGTATTTGGAGGCTTCCAGACTTGTCTACATTTTTCTTCCACCATCATTCAGGCAAAAAAAAATTTAGCAACAGCTTTACCCTCATTCTCATTCATCTAAAACCTAGCCTCTCCATAGCTGCTACCCTGATTCAGAAACTCATTTTGCCATCACTCCCACCTAATGTTTATTATGCAATTATATATTAAGCATAGTATTAAGCACCATGCATGCATTATTTCATTTAATTTTCCCAATAATCTTATAAGACAGGGATTATTATCTTTATTTTACAGATGAGGACACTGAGGCTTAGAGAGATTAAGTTAATTTATCCATGGTTACAGACTCATTAAGAGACAAAACTAAGTCTAACACCAGAATCCACGTTTTTAACCACTACCACATTGCATCCTCATCAATGACTTGCAGCAACAATCATTTTCCAGTCTCCATTCTCTCAGGATGTTTCTATCCAATGAATCCTGTACCCTACCATACCCTTTCTAAAGAACTACTCTATCTCTTACCAAGTGTATCTGTCTACTTACTTTCTCCTAAGTGAGGGGCGGGGCAGGAACCTTATTTCTTTTGTACTACAACAAAATACAAGTATTTAGTAAGTGCTAAATACTTGTTACTGAAGACAATTCATCCCCAAACATTTTTTTAAATTTTATTTTACTACGGTAAAAATACTTAGTATGAGATCTGTCCTCTTAACAAAACCTTAAGTGTACAATACGATATTGTTAACTATAGGTGCCATGTTGTACAGCATATCTCTAGAATGTTTTCATCCTGCTTAACTGAAACGTTCTCCCAACATTTTTAACAGCTCATCACTACACATAAAATAAATCCAAATGCCTTTCTGTGTTTGGCACTCATATACTCCCTATATTTATTTCCTATTTTTCAACACAAATCCTGTTCTATATACACAAATTATTAAATTTTAATATTTTCCACATCCACCAACAATAACTTAAATGTGGAATTTTCATTTATTTTTGAAAACCTCATCCTCACTATGCTCATAGTTTAACCTGTTGTTAAAATATATAAACCACTGCTCTGATTTCTAAGAGCTTTCTTTCCTAAAAAGATCCATAAAACAAATGCACAGAGATAAAATTAGTATATGACTAAAAATGAGAAATTGACCTAGATAAAGTTTATCTTCAATTCAGAGTCTAAAATCTGAATGATTTTTATGACCTAAGAATGAGTAAAATTGTCCATAGCCGGAAAACTCTTGGGTTTTTTTTCTTTTGTGTCCTTTAATTTGTCTGAAAAGTGAAAAGGTGCTTGTCATCAGATGACAAGATTTAAACTAGTGTTTCCAAAAGACATGATGGTTCCTAAAACAAGCTCCAGTTTACTTATTCACTTAACAAATTCTTGAAAAATAAAAATGAAATAGCTACTAGCATATATTCTAGCAGGAGCCAGGCTTTGAATAATCACACAATATATAATTACAAGTTCTAAAAAATGATACAAATATAAAGTACAGGGCATGACAAGACATTTTAATAGAGTATCTGATTTAAGATTTGGGGGTAGAGAGCAGAGGCAAAGGTTAAGCTAATATTAAAGAATGAGTTAATTGGGGATGGTCGTGCTGAACAGTCAGCATGTGCAAAGGCCCTGTAGCTGGAAAATAACTTGGTGTGACTAAGGAAATGAAAAGCAGTGTAGCTAGAGTTTAGTGAGCAAGAGGAGGCTGGAGCAAGATGAAGCTAGTGAAGCCGGGAAGAATCAAGTTATGTAGAATCCTGTAGACCACAGTAAGTATTTTGAATTTTACCCTAAATGTAATAAACATTAGTTTAGCGATGGGAAATCCCCTGAGGAGTTTTTTGGTTTTTTTTTTTTTTTAGATTATTTATTTATTTATTTGACAGAGAGAGACAGCGAGAGAGGGAACACAAGCAGGGCGAGTGGGAGAGAGAGAAGCAGACTCCCTGCTGAGCAGGGAGCCCGATCCCAAGACCCTGGGATCAGGACCGGAGCTGAAGGCAGACGCTTAACGACTGAGCCACCCAGGTGCCCCACCACTGAAGAGTTTTAAGCAGAGAAATAACATGTTACTGTTGAATGGAGAAGTGATATAGTTTGTTTGGGTTTGGGGAGGAGAGTAAAAGAAGAAGAATGAAGAAAATAGGGCAGACAAAAGAATATCGAAGTGATTCAGCTTATAACAATTACAATAACAATTAAGCCCACTGGCTATTTACTGTGTGCCATGTGCCATTTAATCCTCATAACAATCAAGTAAGGTGATTATTATTCCCATTTTACAGATGAGAATATAGGGACCAGTGACATTAAGTCTGGGTGGAAGAAGATTGTGGCTTGAACTCGAAAAGTGATACTGAAGATGTACAGAAATACATTCAGACGTACAGATGACCCTTGAACAACATGGGTTTGAAATGCATGGAATTACATATACATGATTTTTTTCAATAAACACAGTACTGTAAATGTACTTTCTCTTTCTTAGTATTTTCTTAATAACACTTCTTTTGTCTAACTTACTTTATTCTAAGAACACAGCGTAAAATACACATACCACAGATTACGTATTAAGTAACTATTTATGCTATTAGTATTCCAGCCAACAGTAGGCTATTAGTAGTTAGATTTGAGAAGAGTCAAAAGTTATATGTGGATTTTCAACTGGAAGGGGTCCGTGCCCCTAACCCTTGAACTATTCAAGGATCAACTGTACTGGATATAGAATAAATAGAACTTAAAAATACATGGGATGGGCGCCTGGTGGCTCATCGTCAAGTGTCTGCCTTCGGCTCCGGTCATGATCCCAGAGTCCTGGGATCGAGTCCCACATCGGGCTCCCTGCTCAGCAGGAAGCCTGCTTCTCCTCTCCCACTCCCCCTGCTTGTGTTCCTGCTCTCGCTGTCTTTGTCTCTGTCAAATAAATAAATAAAATCTTAAAAAAAAAAAATACATGGGATGAAGGAGAAGTCAAGAATGGATTTCAAGTTTCTAGCTTACATAAGTGGATAAATAAATGAATATGCCACTTAATGAAATAGATACTGAAGGACAAAGAATTTGGGATACAGAGAGAAAAATTAAGACTTTGGTTTTAGATGTATTATATTTGAAATTCCTAAGAAAAAAATCAAGTGGAGATGTCAAGCAGACAACTGGTAAAGGGAAAAGGATGGAAATTAAAATTCTTAAGTCTTCAATATACAGGTGGAATTTAAAGCTTAGGGCAGAAGAGTAAAAGGTGAACAAGACCCTAGCACTGAACCCAGATATTCCATTTCACTCCATCAAACATCTCTCCCTGGGGTCATCGATTACTTTGATGTCACCAGGCTTTACAGTCCTCATTCAACTTTACCTTTCAACAGAATTCAACACTACTGATTACTTCTTTCATCTCTTTTACAGAAGACTTACCCTCCTCTATACAGTTATTAAACAACAAGAATCCCTCCGTGCTCCATCCTGGGTCGGTTTTTTCTAGCACTACACTCTCCTTAGGCAATTTCATCCACATGCATAGCTTCAGTTACTATCAGCATGGCAGATGACATATATACACTAGTTTATACAGCCTGCCCAGAACTCTCCTCTGAGCTCCAACCCAGTATATCCAACTGCTTCCTTGACAGTCTGTCTTAGGCATCTTTTCCAGTTAGAGACTTGTCAGATACTGCCTACCCCACTAAAGGCATTTAAATAGAGCCGAAATTTTGAAAACGATTACCACAAAACCACTACAGGCCAATTCTCCAGAACACAGGATTTTGTCATCAATGATCATTTCAAGGATCATGACCTAAAATAGGTAAACCTGACAACCTGATCTGATAGCTAGAAGATGGGGAGCAACCAAATGCACGACAAAAATACAATTCATGCGTTTTAGTGAGAAATGGTTAGGAGAGGGAAGATGAAGAACGGTCAAGAGTGAATGTCCAAGGCCTGATGGGTGTGCGGCAACGGAAGTCACCTGAAGAGACAGCAGGCCTTGCTAAGGGGCGAGCGGCGGACGACGACAGCCCCCAGCGAAAAGGGGCCAGGTTTGGGTTGCGGAGGAAGAGCGTGACAGTAAGACCAGGTCAAAGGAGAGGGAAAGCCTGGGAGAAAACCCAAGAGGAGTACCTGGGAGGCCCTGGGGGCGTCGAAGGGGTGGGGGTGAGCTGAGCAGCAGCGGGGCGAACTCCAGAAGAGTGAACACCGAGTGGGCGGACCGCAAGGGGCGGGGGGGGAGGGGGACCTGGGGAAAACGGCTCAGTTGAGAAGCTCGCCGCCGGACGCGCCTTACCTGTGCCTTCGGGTCCGGAGCCCTGCACTGGCCTGCCGGAAGCACAGAGTCCGCGCGGAGGGGGAGGAGCCGGGGGTAAGGAAGGAAAGGGACACCGGGGACGAAGGAGAGGGGCCGCTCACTCCCCCTAGTCAGGGAGAGCGGCTGATGGCGGGAACTGTGACCACACGCAAACACGCACGCACGCACGCACACTCGACGCGACCGGACGAGGCGCGTGCGCGCAGGCCTGCAAACTCCGCCCCTCCTGAGCCTTCGTCCCGCCCCAGCACAGAGCGAAGTCTGGCCGAGACAGCCCCGCCCCCGCCGTGAAGTAGTACGCGTGCGCACTCTCCACTTCGCGCACTGTGGCCCTCCCATCCATTCCCTCCTACACAGCCCAGTCGGGCATGCGCACTACTTGTCCTCCGAGAGCGCTTGGCTTTTCCCGCCCTTCACTGGCCTCTGGAGGAGAGTCAGAGTTCACGCCCCTCTCTGGGGATACCTGCTCGAAGCCAGAGGATGCGGGGACTAGTAGGTGGCGGACGTCCCTCTGGCCCAGAATCTTAAGGGGCAAAGGACATACTCTGGGACTATTAACTCCGCCGAGAGCTAGGAGGCGGGAAGAGGTGTGTGGGCGGGGTCAGGGGTGAAAGGTCATAGGGCTGCGAAGGGGGCGGAGCGAGCCGGAGGCGGATGGCGGCTGCCGCGGCTGTTCAGCTTTGGCGGCAGAGTCACTGAAACGGGGACGCTGGTCCGACGCGTCCGGCAGTGGGAGAAGAGCGGCGGCCGCTCCCAACATGCACAGCCTGGCGACGGCTGCGGTGAGTGACTGGGCGTTCCGGCCTGGGCCCAGACCCCCTCCTTAGCCCCGCGTTTCGGCCTGCTGTCCTAGGTCCCCGTGTCGGGCCCGGAGTCCAGCTCCTCCTGCCCTCAATCTGCGAGGTCCCGGCCTCCTCCTCATCGCGCCTTGACTGTGGTGGAGCCGGCCCCCACTTTCCTCTCCGGTCGGCTCTCGCGGCCTCCTGCGCCGCGTATCGCGTTCTTTTCCGGCCCCGGGGCCTGGTCCCGCGCCGGAGCGCTTCCCTCGCGGTCGAGACAGGCCATTCATTGATTCATTGCGTTGACCAACAGTTTCAGGGTGCCGGTTACGTGCTGGGCGTCGGCGGGGATGAGGGGGAATTCCGTGGTCAATCTGACATGGTCCTTGCTCTCGAAACTCATTGCCCCGGCACTTCGCAGCGGGAAGGAAATGGCTTCTAACTCACACCACTTGCTTTACAGGTGGAAAATTTGAGACCGGGAGAAGTGAATAATTATTACGTCTGACCTACGGTTTTCTGCGCCTAAAACCTTTTCCCCACATCTCTAAAATGAGATCTTTAAAAAAAAAACCAAAAACGGATCGTGTAATTCACGTGTCTGAAGTAATTTTTTGGCTTTCCGTTGCATTTAGATAAAATCCAGACTCCTTGCTGTGGCCTATAAGGCGCTACCTGTACCCTAGGGTCCTTACCCACGTTTGCGGTCTAGCGTGGTCGCCTGTCCATCCCTTATACCTGCGCTTTTCCACTCCACTTGGACTTTCTGATCTCTATTCCTGGGATGCTCTTCTTACCACGTACCGTACCCCCAGTTGCACGCGCACATACACACACAGCATGTGGGTGTAACTGACTCCTCTTCCCTGGGGTCTCTGCCTAGGTCTCTGCCTAAATCTTCCTAGAGTAACCTTCCCTGGCCACTCTATTTAAAGAAGTTCTGTAACCCCCAACTTTTCTCTGTTAAAAATATCTTTCTCAGCGCTGATCTCAATTTTGTCATTTTTGTATTTATTTACTTGTTTGTTGACTCTCTACCTCTTAAGGGCAAGGACGGAGATCCTGTGGGTCCTGTTTACATGGTTACCCCAAGTGCCCAGACAGTTCCTGGCACAAAGTAAGGGCTCAAATACTTAGCTGGATGAAAAAGTATAGATGAGGGAGGTGACTACTGAGAACAGATAGCCATAATGGGAAAATGAGATCATATGATTTGAGCACACTCTTCTGAATACCAATCGCACTTTTTCTGTTCCCCTAAGATGAAGTGACTGAAGACAGGGTAGTATACTGACATTGCATTCTCAGGCAAAATGACTTAAATATTAAATAGAGGACCAAAAAAAATGCTTTTACTTTAAATATAAAAAGTGAAAAAGTGTGCTGAATAAGACTGGACTGTAGAATACATTGTCATTTCCATGGCCAATGGCATCTCTACCGCCTGTCACCATGTTTCTAAGTGTTTGTAAGTACTCAGAGTGGATACCTTTACATCTTTCAGTTAGGTGATTGCAATTTCCCCAGCTTTTTTGTTTCTTCTCCCAAACTATACATATAATTTGGGAAGAAGCAAGTCAGAAGATGAGGTTGCTGAGGGACACCTGGGTGGCTCAGTCGGTTAAGCATCTGCCTTTGGCTCAGGTCATGATCCCAGGGTTCTGGGATCAAGTCCTGCATCGGGCTCCATGCTCAGCAAGGAGCCTGCTTCTGCCTCTGCTTGCCGCTCCCCCTGCTTGTGCGTGCATGCGTGCTCTCTCTCTGTGACAAATAAATAAATAAATAAAAATCTTTGGGGAAAAAAAGAAAGATTAGGTTGCTGCTGATAGGGGAGGGGCAGGTTACACAAGGGATTCTTCTAAGTTTGGCTTGTCCAGTTCCCAAAATCTGATTGTGTCTTCACCAGACTTTGATACCAAACTGCTCCTTTCCTTGTGACTCTCTAAACTCTATACCTATTCAGTTCCTTTTATTTTCACTTGTTCCCGAAGGGCACAGAGAGAGAGAGAGAGAGAATTTCAAGCAGACTCCCTGCTGAGTGCAGAGCCCGACCCATGGCTCAATCCCACAACCCTGAGATCATGACCTGGGCCGAAATCAAGAATTAGATGCTTAACTGACTGAACCACCCAGGTGCCCCAACCTAATGCATCTTTTGAACAGCCATTAAAGCTGTGGTTCATTACTTATGATAAATATTCAGTACTTGTTTCTTCAATTACATTTACAGTGCTTTACACTGATTTAAAATTTAAGCTTTTAGATACATTTTCATCTGTTAATGCTATTGGGCTCCCACAGAAGCTTTGAGAAGTTCCTTTGTACCACTCATTTGCTAGACTATTTGGTCACTGAGGAAACTGAAGCATAGAAAAGTTGAGCCACCTCTTTCCCAATCCTTCATGCATTCTATTAGACTAAACTGCCTGTATTACTCTGGTCTGGTAAGGGGACAGTCATGGTATATATTGCTGAAAACTGAGAAGAGTCCATGATAACATGCAACAGTGCCTGCAGTAATCTAAGCCATTTGAGAAGATGATTTTTTTTTGCTTAATGATGATAAGTGTTATACTTGTGTGTACTTTTATTTATCTCTTTTTTAAAGTAACAGGTAAATCATCAGCTAGGGTGATAGTACTATCAAAGGAGAATATGATCACGTGAATGTAGGATTTTATTCACTAGAGGGAAGAACTGAGAATTTGGGAAGTGTCTTAAATTTTGACTCTTGAGTAGTAGTTTATTAGGCTAGAAATACACAATGTAGTAGACTCTTGTCATACTTTATAGCATACATTTTAACATTGTCATTAGTGCCACCATAAAATATAATTTCTCACAACTGTGAAATAGGGACAAATACCATGCAGGATTATTCTAAAGATGAAATAAGAATAACAAAGTACTTAGTGGTTGGCTAGGTATAGTCCTTGGTTATATGACTTGCTCTCATATTTCAACCTTGGGACTATAATTCCTTCTGCAACAAAGTAACAAGTCACTTTGTTGTGGACCTTGGAGGTTGTTTCAGAGTAGTAGAACTACAAATCTTCATATACTGTGAGTCTTTAATGAATGTTATGCTAGTGATCTAAAATATAAAATAGTCAAAGGTAAGCCTTTAAGAGATGCATTGGGTATGGATTTTTAAAAAAATTTCCCACTAATTTGCACTGGCAATTTTAACATCCTTATATACGTGTTTTCCTCTCATTTTCCACCTAACCAATAGCATCATCAGTACATCTTTTTGTTGAAGCTGTGCTAGACTCCCAGATGCTCTCCTCATTGGCAAGTAAAAAGAACGTGCACTCTGAGGGATCGGATTTATTTATTTTTTTTGAAAAAGATTTTATTTATGTGAGAGAGTACAAGCAGGGAGAAGGGCAGAAGGGGAGAGAGGGGAAGAAGCAAACTCCCCGCTGAGCAGGGAGCCCGACGTGGGGCTCAATCCTAGGACCCCGAGATCATGACCTGAGCCGAAGGCAGATGCTCAGTCGACTGAGCCACCTAGGCGCCCATGAGGGATCTGATTTAAACACTATCTCCTCCCATGTCTTCTGTTGAAACTTTAAGCAAATTGCCTAATCTCTTGTTCACTTCCATTTTTTAAAAAAAAAGATATTTTGAAGAATATTCTGGCCCTTACAGAGATATGAGGATGATTAAGCTAATTTAATATTTCCCTTTGGCATTATTTAGAAAGTGTGTTTTCTTGGATTATCATCATTATGTAGACACCAAAGCCACATGTTGAGTCGCCTCTAGACTTAGGAAAATAATTTCTCTTTCAATCTTATGCCATTCTTTCTTTATTTGCTGTCACATATTTATGGGTAGGAAAACCAACAGGTATTTTCGCCCTTGAATATAAAGTTGTATTGAGAGATTTGGTTATTTCCTGTTTAAAAAAAGCCATCAACATCAATTTTTTAATTTACTTGTTGGAGGGGTATGTCATATATTGTTCCCATTTATGGATAACATGGGTCTTTTTTTTTTTAAGTTCTAAAGATCTTTCTCCTTTTCACATGGAGTCAAGATCGTTCAGAGATAGAAGACCAACTGTCAGTACCCTGTGTTTGTGACACTTAGAGTTAACCATTAATGACTGACTTTGGCAAATGTCTTGCCTGTGTTAAGCTTTGTTGAAAGAAAAAAGTTATTTGAAATACATTTTTCATATCCAAACCATTAAACAGAAAAGAGGAGAGTTGAGTCCCTCCTAAATTTTGATAATATAAACATTTTTTAAACATACCTGTTACAAGAAAAGGACCACTAACTTTAAGGAGGTTATACCTAAAAATATATAGTTATATATGATTTCTAATCTTGGAAATAAGCGTTGAGGATGACAACTAATAGTCCAAATCATACTTCTCATAAATGACTTTCTGGTTTCTGTGTATGTAATTGAACCCACTGTTTATCCAAGTCCAACTATTAATGAGCTGTATTAGACTATTAAACTTAGAGTTCTGTATTGAGTTCTTAAAAAATAATTTCTTCAACTTGGAAGGATCATTGTGAATTCAGCCCTATAGACCATGTAGGGCTCACTGATTCTAGAAAGAAGTAGACTACAGTTTGAATCTAATTCTGCCATGCACTCACGGTGTGAATTTGAATCTGTTAAACCTCCCTGAACCTGTTTCCTCTTAGAATTTTGAGAGTAAAGGGAAGTAATCCCCAGTGATTGGTACATTGATATAAGAAGGCAAGCCTAATCTATAGTGGCAGAATGCCTATCCATGGTTGCGTAGGGCTGGGTGTGGGATTTACTGAAAGAAGTACTAGAGAACTTTTAGGGGTGGTGGAAGGGATCTATCTCTTGGTTGTGGTGGTGGTTACTCAGGTGTATAGATTTCTCAAAATTGAAATATACATGTAAAATGGGTATACTTAAAACTTCATGCAAATTAACCTCAATAAAATTAACTTTTCAAAAGAGCTCTTAGGTTAGTCTCTCAGTTACAACTAAGAGCTAAATAAGATAA